CTGAAGCATCGACCATTTCTGGCCGGCAACTTTCAGCATCATTAAGCCGCTGCGCCACCGCATCCCATGCATAAGGTTTGCCTAATACTATTTAGTTATATAGGAATATGTGAGAAAATTTATAACCTAAACAATGCAGACAAAGACCAACAGACCAATAATTGTCTTAGTGTAAGTTGAGAGGGAGAGCCAGTTTGGTGTAGAGGCTAGAAACTGGGAGGCCGTGAATTCTAGTCCCGCCTTGGGCAGCTGGGCAACCTTGGGCCAGTCATAGCCTCTCAGCCCTAGGAAGCAAGCAATGGCAAACCACATCCGAAATCTTGCCAAGAAAAGTGCAGGGACTTGTCCAGGAGTCAACAATAACTCGAAGGCACAAATAAATAAAAATAAATAAGTTGAGAGGAGAAAGCTGATAAAACAATCACTTAGCTGTCCGGACAGCATTCCAGCACCTAGTGTATTCTCCCCTCTCCAGTCCTTGAACAGAAAAGCAACTTCATTAACTCTTATATGCTGCATATTTACAATAACCAGCCTATTTTATTATTTTTGCTGTTGCAAGTCTAATCATTGGTTTACTGTGAAAATAATAAAAATAAAAGTCCTCTTAACTTCTCTAATTTGAGTGAAGTATCACCTGTACATGAGATATGAAGCTTACTGCCTGCTGCATTAGATTTATCCAGACTCCACTAAGGACTGAGTATTCATTCTCTTTTCTGAACTTGATACTTACAATTCTATGTCACATTCTTGTTTCAGGATGGATTACATATACATGAAACTTTCTGTTGCTCCTTTCCCTCATTAAATATCTTACATCATCTTTTTTATTATTTATTTCAGTTTAACTCACTGAATCATTTATAAAAATGAAACTGCATTTGATGCTTTTGTTACATCAGCATGAATTGATGTTTTATTATTTCCTAGGGCCTGGCTGAAGGAGCACATGTCTAAAGCCAGCGGACAATTAAATGATTCAGGAGTTCTTTCAGCTAATTTGGTCTTGGGCTATGAATGGCAGAGCAATTGGCACAACTACTCATTAAGGCAGCTCGACATCATCTTAGAACTGGGAAGAAGAAAGGATTATCATCTTCAACCTCCTTGAATGTAGCTGGGGAGGTACTGGCAGTAGCTGCTGGCTTGAAACCAGCTTTTCTGTATGATTACAATTCTGCTGGGACTTCTCAGATCCTGGACTATGTTCAACATCTTCAGACTATCCTTCAACTTAGATGTCAGCTACATGTTCTGAATATTGCCGAAAATGTTCTAATAATCAACTTGGGACTGATGTGTCTGTGTTTGGAGTCAATCCTGCTTAGCAATAATGTCACTTTCATTGATATTTCTGCTTCTAGACCATGTCCTACCTTTTGTAACCCAGAAAATGTGAGCCTCATAAAAAGCCATCTGTCAGAGATACTGAATCACATTAAAGCATTCACAGAAGATACATCCCAGACAATATCTTCAAGTGAAATCTTTTCAACTGAATGGAATCTCTGTACTCTATTTGGTGTATTGCTAGGCTATCCAGCATCCTATAATTTTCCTACTCAGAAGAGTTCTGATAATTGTCTTGCTCTAACTCCACTGAGGGTGTTTACTGTTCGAGCCACATTTTGTAAGATAAGCAGTGATTTCAGAGTTCAGTTTTATTCTTTCAGTATCCCAGAACTCTTGTATCCAGTCATGAAAATAAGCCTCAGTGCATGGTGTGAAAATCTCAAGGATGCTTTTAAAACTCAGAAAGACTTTGCTAATCTCTGTATTACAAGTGAGGTGGTTGCTCTAGCAGCAGTGGCCTTGTAAATGTGAATCCCAGTTTAGAGACAGATAACGGTTTTTCTCCACAGCATTCTACTGATTTGTTTTAAAAGAGCTTCAGAACAGCGGTAGTTTGGCAGCTTATCCAAGCAATTACGTCAGTCTTTTTAAAAAGTGTGCAGTTTTCCTTTCAGCAACTCTTGGGGCATCCCTTCATACTTAAATTTCCAAGAATCTATTTCAAGTTAGCCTTTTTTCCCCCAGATGATATTATTAACCAATCTATGATTCCAAATTCCAGCCAAAAAGAATTTAGTGGTTTTCGCAAGCTAGAATGGGCAGTGATTTCAGTTCCAGTATGGCAGTGTTGTCCAAACTTGGCCACTTTAAGATGAG